CTCCGGCGGTGCTCCGCGGCCGACCCCTGCTGCCGGCGCGGCCATGGCGCCCCTTGCCTCCTCGCGGCGCGCCCCGAACCTTCTTCGCCCCCGAGGTCGCCAATCGCTTGCCGCACTGGATGTCGCGTCGTCGGCCGGCCCAGACAAGAGGCCCGGTTGCATACAAATCAAACGCAATGGAAATGCAGTATGCATAGTTTTCAGGGGTGCCGGGAAATTTAGAAAACACGCTGAGCAAATATGGGCGCGGCGCGCACTTTGATTTATATGTTCTGCATCTTGCCGCTGCGTTGGGCGGGCATGCCGCGCGCGCCGCGGGGGCGCCTGCGCGGCGGCCTTTTTGGCAATTGTTTCGGGCGCCGTTTCGCCCCAGCGCCGGCGCGCGCATCGAAGGCGCCGCGGCGCCGAAGGCGCCGAGCGCCGCCAGCGATCTTTAGATTTTGACGGGGCTCTGCGACGCGGCAGTTCTTCTCGAGCATGCTGGCGGCCCCTCGGGGCCCGCTCGGAGCGCGCTGCGACCTTCGAGGTCTCGTCGGAAGCTCTGGCCGCGTCGAAGTCTCGAAGGGCCTCGGTCGCCCGGGACAACTCCCTGGCCTCCGAGCGGGGGCGGGGCCCTCCGCGCATGCCGAGCGTTCCCGACGGGGGGGGGGCCGCCCGGGGGCCAAACGTCTTGCTGCCCCGCCCCGACGAGGCCCCGCGAGGAGGCCGAAGAGGGCGTCTGAGGGGACCTCGCGCAGCCCAGTGGGGCCCGTGGACGAGGGCCATGTGACGATGCTCGCGCGGCCTGAGAGTCGCCGAAGACAGGCAGCAGGGCCTCCAGGCGGCCCCGTCACATTGACCAAGACGAGTTTCGTGCCAATCTCGCGACTGGGCCCGGCGCCCAGGCGCATGCTCCGAGGGTTGCTGCCGCGCGGGCTGCAGCGCCAGCCGCGCCTCATGGCCGCCCGATCTCATGGGGTTTGCGCGAGGGCCCTGGGAGCGCCAGCCACCGGGATCATGATTCTGTTTTCGGGCCCGTGGAGCGCGCAGTTTCCCCGCGGGCGCACGCCGCGCGCGACGCGGAGGAGGGGCCTCCAGGTCGTTGCCCCCTGGGATCTGCATGCGCCCCCCATCATTCTCCCCCCCCCGCCCCCCGTCGCTCGGGCCCAGGTCGGCCCAGAAAAACGCGCTGGTGCCGCCCTTGCTCGATGGCGCGGGTCGGGGGCGCGCGCCGCGCGCTTGCTTGTCAAGGGCTTGCTTGGATCGATGTCAGCTGCGCCGTCTCATTTATTGTGGTTTGGATGCGCGTTGTGCACAGATGCGATGCGCTTCCCTTCTGGGCCAAAACGCCGCGGCGCGGACTGGTTCCGGCATGTTCTGGCGCAGTGCCGCCAGGGCGTCGCGCGCAGCAGAGCCTTGTCCAGAGCGTTCTATCTTACGACGGCCCCCCGCGAACATTCAGGAGCATGGCCCCGTGTCTGCTTGTTTATTTGCACGCCAGCTGTTGGCGCGATTTCCGCGCAAGCCGGCGCGATTGCCCCCGTCATGGTGCGATGGACATCTCCGGCGCATTTCTGTTTATGTCGCGGGGCCCCGTCGGGACTTGGCCATTTGGCGCGCTCCAGGGCCATCTGGGAGATTCCCGGCCCGGAGATTCCCTATCGCTTCTAGGGGGGGGCCAAACGTCAGATGCAGCGATGCGCCGTGCGCTGAATTCAGATCTGCATTTGCGCCGGGCCCGCGCGGCCCCGCTGGGGGCCCATCCTGTTAGATTGCCCTGCGGGCCTGGGAAGCCCCAGCGCCCCCGAGGGGACCCGAAACCCAACCGAGCAATTCCATTTAGATTTAGTGCGCGCGTGGCGTTTCTTCCGCCCTCACGGGGCTCCGCGGGCAATTCCAGAGTCTGGAAGGGGAGTTGCGACGGGCCCTTGATGCAGCCCAGATCATTCCATGTGCCCCAGCGCATTCTGGGCCTCTCCTCGAGGCCGTCTCGGGCAATCGAGAGCTCGCCCGAGCTTGCTGGAAAGAGTCCAGAAACATATGAAGTTGCTCAAATTATCTGTGGCGCATTTCTGGTTCTGGTTTGGGGCTCTCTGGCGATTTTCGCCCGGCCCCCTAGGGCCGCCCGGGGCCGTCCGAGGCCGCGTCCTAAAATCGCGAATTGCCCACCCCAGAGGGCCAAGAATCAAGCGGGCCTTGAACGCGCTGCGAACGCGCCCGGCGAGCCCCGCAACGGGCCTCCAGTTGGCGACCGACAACTTCCGTTTCGGCGGCCTGAAAGATCGCTGACACCGACGAGGAAGTATTGCGACAGGCACCTCCCGTCGCGACTCGTTAGCATTCTGGACATTTTTGTTGTTCAATATGCTGCAATGGTGCCGCGGGCTTCTTGTGCCGCCCCTCCGAGGGTCTCGAGTTCCGCGCGGCGTGTTCGGGCCGCGACGGGGCCCTTCGAGGCCGTTTGTTTGGGGGGGTCGCGGGGGGAGGGGGGCGGCGCGACGCCAGGAATGAGCTTTGCCCCTGCAGGCTGCGTCGGGCACAGCTCTTTCGGGGCCCCGCGCTCATCTGGCAGGCGGCTGACGCGCCCGGTGCCCCCCGAGGGCCGGCGACGGCGGGGGGCGCGCGCGCGCCGAGCGCAGCCAGGCCTGCCCAGAGACGCCACGGATTTTCACGCACTCCCAGAGCAGATTTTTCACGGCCGCGAGCGTCGCGAAAATAACAAGGCCATGATTCGGAAGAGGGGTGGCTTCGCTCGTGCGGCCTTGCTCTTGAAGCGGCACCTGGCCGAGGCGGAGGTGGGGCGCTCCGCCTTGCCGTCGGCCTGACGGCGAGGCCTCTCAAGGCCGAGCTGGTGGAGGAACCCGCTCGCAGGAGCTGCGCTCGCCTCCCTGGCGAGGGCCAGGCCGCGCACGCCAACGGGCTGCCACATGCACGTTGTTTTTCGGCCTCGTCTTCAACTTGCTCGCTCTTGCTGATATGTTTGGCATATGTATCACCGCTGACATGGATCAGCTTGGTCCGATTGCTGGCATGTGGTCTCTCCATCTGTGTTCCTTTCATCATTGGGTATTACTTTGGGATGCAGTAGCTGGTGCTTTCATGCTGGTCGCAACGTACCCCTCTTTAGTTATGTGGTTTATCCCGTCCCGACAAAGTGCGGCTCGCATTTGGCAGCTCACACTGGCAAGCGGGGCTCTGGGCACAAACGCGAGCGTCGTTGCACAGGCGAGGTTGTGCGGTTCAGCAGATTCAGTGATTGTGATTCATGTTGGATCATTGTGGCGGATATGCTACATTCTGCAGTTCCGCACGCTCAGTCTGTAGCGTTTTCTTGCATCTGCACTTCCCCGTATTCGGCATCTTCTCGTTGTGGTATGGTTGTTGAGACCTTGGCTGCGTTACGCGGAATTCTCGATTGTTGTATTGGTCGCTTAGCGTTGCGTGTCAGTTCACCTCGTCGTTGGCAGCGCAAGGCAGGAGTGGCAAGACGGAAATCGATCCATGTTGATTGAAATGGGTCGATTTCGTTGGCCGCCTAGAAAACGGTTAGAGCGTCAGAACAACAGATGATGATGTTGGTTGCGCTGCTTCCGCCGATGGCGTCGTTGCTTATGGGATGCAGTCGTTGTCCATTGTAATTATGAGTAGGATGATGGCGACAACGGTGATGATGGTCATGACGGTGGTGATGGTAAGAGTATGGCGATGGGATAAGATGGGGTGGTGATGAGAAGGAGGAGGAGGAGGAGGAGAAAGAGAAGTAGGAGGAGGAAGATGAGGAGGAGGAAGAGGAGGAGGAGGATGAAAAGGAGGATGAGTAAAGGAGGAAGAGGAAAACGAGGAGGAGGAGTAGGAGGAGGAGGAGAAGGAGGGGGAGGAGGAAGAGGAGGAGGAGGGGAGGAAGGGGGAGGAAAGAGGAGGAGGAGGAGGAGGAGAGGAGGAGGAGCAGGAGGGGAGAGGAGGAGGAGGGGGAGGAGGAGGAGGAGAAGGAGGAGGAGGAGGAGAAGGAGGAGGAGAAGGGGGAGGAGGTTGAGGAGTGGAGGAGGAGGGGAGGAGGAGAGGAGGAGGAGGGAGGAGGAGAAGGTGGAGCGGGAGAAGGAGGAGGATGAGGACGAGGAGGAGGAGGAGGAATCAGGAGGAGGAGGAGGGGGAGGAGGTGGAGGGCTGTTACCCCCGCGGCGGGTTGGCGGAGCAAGGGTACGCTTCAGAATCCTGAGCCAGTCAGGAAGTGCTAACATGGGGGGGGCGGGTGAAAACGGTGTGGGGGGAGGACAGGGGCTGGCTCGTTGCGCTCTCATATTGTATGTGTCCTGACGCGCAACACGTGCGTCTGATCTGCCCATCCCCTTGTTTCTTCTGTTTTGCACATCCCTCTGTTTTCCCTCGTTTTCTCAGTCTCTCTCTCTCTCTTTCTCTCTTTCTCTCCCTGTTTCTCTCTCCCTCCTTCCCTTTTCTCATTCTCCTTTGTGTGCTATTGTACGTGCGGGAGTTTTTGGATAAGCGTGTGGCTCTGCCAGCTCTAGCCCACCACGCTTCGGAGCGACACGCTATTCACTTCCCGGCCCCCAGGCGTCAAAGTTCCGAGTTTTTCCCATCGCCCCGCCCCCGCAGAGCGGATCGACACGTTATCCACTCGCAGGGCATAGCCTGCCGCCGAGGCCGCCTCCGCAACACGGTATCCCTAAGCTCCTGGCCGTGCATGTACACAAACACACACATACACCCATACACATATACATATATGCGTATATACATACAAGTATGCGTGTTTTCATGTATGCATGTCTGTATATGTACTTCTACACACACATCTGTGTATCTCTATATATATATATATATATATATATATAGAAGTGCTCCCCCTCTCTCCCTCCCTCCTGTCCTTCTCCCCCCGTTGCTCTTCTTTCCGCTTTTGCCTGTTTCCGTGCCGTCCTCCGCCCTCCTTCTTCATTGTCTCGCGAAGGGGGGGAAGGGGGGAAAGGGTGCGCACCACGCTCGTGCCGACATCGACCCCGCACGAGGCCTCCGAGAGGGCAAGTGCGAGCTGTACTTCCTCGTCCCGAGCAAGAAGAAGACACAGCTGGGCGACACGGCGATGAACAGGATGGGGCGGAGGATGGTGGGAGCTCCCACTGGAGGTCGCGCGGGCCCCTCATCCAGCGCGGGGGCCGCTCCCGAGGCTCCGCGTGTCGCCCCGCGGGTCCTGCACAGGGTGGGGCGTCTGGGCCGAGTCGGCAGACTTGGAGACCTGTTGGGTTATTTGGGGGCCTTCTAAATGTCTGAGTTATTACTAGCGCTCCCCTCGCCTGTTTTAGCTACCCTGTCCGTCTCCCACCATATAGGGTTGGCAAGGTTTAGAACGGAATCGGAGATATCATCTCGGCCGCAACCACTTTCTGCTGAAAAGGTTTACGCGCGCCGCCGGGTCTCCCTCTCTTCCGGCCGGCCGGCTCACACATCACACCTACATGAGCAGATCCGGTTAACGGACATTCAACAATGGCCAAGGGACTCTAAAGAAGGTCTGGCCAAGGCGAAAGGTAGCGAGCGTTTGTCCGCGGCCGTTTGGGCTCAAGCGGCCGGCCGCTAACATATGACTGCGCGTCAACGCGAGGCACACGATTTTCCACTGGGACCGAAAGCCTTTTAGTAAATATGCTCCTTTCCGCCTCATCTTACAGTTGCCTCTCCTGCCGCCTGCCTTGCCTTACCTTGACATTACTGCAGCACTGTTCTGCAGCTGTTTGCTACTCAAGTTAGAAAAGGAGCGAGCCTGCGGCGCGCGCGCGTGCGTCGGCCGGCGGGCCGGCCTCCTCCCTTCCCATACTTGGCTGCTTTTGCTTAACGGATAACATTATGTTTCATCGATGTCTCGTCCCAAACCCTTACCACTGAGCGCATTGATCATGATACCTTAATTCCTCGAAACGCGTGACCAAGTCGCTATGGGATTGAGCTATGATGAGACAGCCGAATTGCCCGCAAGATTACACAATGTGCATCGAGACGGGCAAGAACAACAGGACAGCGGCCCAGGGGAGGGCCGCTCTCGTCCCTCTTCTAACCTCAATCGGGTTCCTCATGGAGGAGTTGTTGGAGGAGTCATTGATTTGTCAGCCGACGATTCTCCCATTCGTGCTCCGATCAGAGAACGTGATCAGACCCCGGACCCGATGAGGCGGAACGGCCCAGCCGGGAACGCCAGGCGAGGAGCCTTTTCATCTTGGATTGCCCAGTCCCCAGAAACAGCGCATTCGAGCCCGATTGCCATGCATTCTATCGAGCCGGCCGCTGGCCCAGCCAGTCGGCCGCGAGTCGTAGACGAGTCGAGCGGTAGGCTCCCCGCCGTCCCAGACGGTTGGGATCGACCGCCCGGGGCTCATCTCATCCTGATCGCCTTGAACGGGCAGCCCGGTCATGACAGCGACGAACAGCTTGATGACGAAGACGATGTCAACTCTATGGAGGATCACATGGAGTATGCCGCGTACGGAATGTCCCCAGGCCGAGTTTTACCGCAGTTGAACGCTGCCGACTGTCCCGTCCCAGACGGACGGTCGCCCCCAGGACCCCAGGACAGGAGACCATTGATTACGATCATTTGGAAGCTCTTGGGGGGGGCACTTGCGGAACCAGATTTAGATGCAACGACCAGCGACCTAGTCCGCGAGGTCCCAGCGGCGCACGAGCCATGGGGAACACCTATGCCGCCCCCCGTTCTCGCAATCGCAGAGGTCCCGCCCCGGACGGCAGAGGTCGCACCGAGTTCCCAACTTCATGTTGAGCGTGGCCGGGGGTCCACGGGCCGAACGCCAGCTCCTCGGCATAAGGAACGCAGGAACGAAGATTGCGATTTGAATGCTGCCCCGCTTCAGGAGGGGTTCCATCGGTCTGCCGTCGCCCCAGGCGATTGGCAGCCGTCGGCCCCCGCGGTAGCTGAGGATGATGACCCGCGTGGCCCCCCAGTCACACTCCCAGAATTGATTGCGCAGGACGAACGGGACGAGGCGCTCCGCGAGGTGGCCAAGCCACCGGAGAGCACGCACATTCGTCCTCGATCGTCTGCTTCAGGCAGGGGGCGGCCCAGGATCCCACGACTTGGCGCCCGTTCGACTTCGGGGAGTAACGGTGCCATTTCCATGCGCGAGGAGCGCTGGAACCAGGGCTCTGATTGCCCGCCCCAGGCGGAGATCAGGTGCCCGGGGAAAGCCCACAAAAAGGGTGGGCCTTGCAGGCGCCCAGCGCGTGGGTATCGTTCCAGCGCGTGCCCCAATTGCGGCAGTGAATGGTCGCTTGAGGACTGCATCCAGATGGGGGAACATAGCTGCCAATACCTTTTGATCCAAGCCATGCAGGACCAGGCCATAATCATAGAGGCCCAGAGACAGCAAGAAACGATGGCCTTAGATGCCCAGAGGGCCGAACAGGCCCGGTTGGATCGAGAAGAGATGAATGCAGTTATTGCCGACGTTCAGAAGAAGTTCGAGGCTGACAGGCTCGCCAGGGCCCAAGCTGCCAGTCGGCGAGAACGAGAGTTGATAGCACAAATGTCCTCTCAGACCGCGGCTGCCCAGCGGCGCGCGGAAGAAGCCGAAAACAAGATTGTTGAGACATTATCTTCTGAGCGACAGGCTGCCCTGGCGGTGCGCAGTCAATCTGTAGACGCCAAGTCCGCCTGCGCCGCTGTTGCGGTGGCGAGACTAGAAGGGGAGAGGGCCAAAATAGCCAAGGCAGAACATGAAAGGAAGGAGCTCCAAGATCAACTTTGCGCTGCCAGGCTGGAAGCGGCCAACGCACAGATTATAGCTGCGACGATGGTTGATCATAATAATCAATCTCGAGATGAGCTCAAGATGCACGAACATGTTAGGGCATCGCTTCGGCAGATACAATCAGGTGGCGAAGCGTGCCCGCCGGCCAAGCCGGCAGGGGCGAGCGGACGACCATCGCCGGCGGTCCAGCCGTCTGGTGCCGCGTCGTCGCAGGCCCGGCCTAGCTCGGCGCCCCCAGAGGGCGGAATGCCGCCATTGCTGCGGGTGAAAGCTACCCGGCAGCCTCAGCCCGCGAGAGGGGGCACTGACGAAAGTTGTTCAGTATGTTCAAACCCGAAGGTCGGTTTATGCGCCACTTGCGGATCGCCAAGTTGTAAAAACCATTTTAATATGAGCACGAAGCGTTGCGTCGCGTGTGCCCAACGGGGGAGCTTGCTTGTGGAACAGGCGGAGTGGGGCGAGCAATGGAAGCGAGATAGCGCCAACCCCAACTTTCTGGCCCAACAGCAGAAGCTCCCTGATGTCATCTACGCTGACAAGTGTAACGCGCAGAGGATGAAGGGGCAAGCTGAGGGACAGCTTCGATTGAGCTCGGAAAAGTAGACAGCCAACCTTCGTGAGAAAGAAGAAGCGCTGGCCCGCGCAGCTGCATCAGAGAAGGGGGCGATGGAGCTCAAGGCTGCCATCGCTGAATCCTTGAAAGAGAAAGACCAACGTATGCGGTCTCGATCAAAAGCAGCTGACCGAGAGGTTGCCTTGGAAGAAATGGCAGAAGAGACGACAAAGACCATGGGTATGGAATCTTTCCAATTTATCGAGACAGCGCTGGACAAAATGCCCAAATTTCATCAGTTCGATATGTCCAGCTTTCGCTGCAGACGCCCGTTAGGCCAGCTTTGCGCCCCCATTTCATTGTCCCAGGCCCTGCCGCCGAAGGCCCGGCCAAGCCAGGCATCTCCGGGAACAGTGTACCATTCAATACCGAGTTGCAAGGCGCCGTTGATGACATGACATTCATTAACTATCATCCTTTCACCCAGGCGGGACCAGCTCGGCTACCAGCGGCCCGGCCGCCGGGTGGAGGTAAGGAATAACGCGCCAGCGGCCGCGCCGTCTGGCGGGGCAGGGCAGAGCAATGATGCGGATGATCGAAGAACCGCACCAAGTACCGAATTCTTGCACGCACTCGCCCATGCCGCCCAAGACCAGTCCAGGGAAGCCGCCTCCAGGGGGTCCGGGGGGACCTGGACCCTCAGGCGGTGGAGGCGGTCGTGGCGGAAGGGCTCA